GGGGGGGGGGGGGCGGGGCGGGGGTCCGGGGGTTGGGGGGGGGGGCTATGCCGGGCGCGGCCGGGGGCTGACTCGCTGCCGCACTCCCCGCAGACATGGCGATCCGCTACCCCATGGCCGTCGGTCTCAGTAAGGGCCACAAGGTGACGAAGAACGTGTCGAAGCCCCGGCAGTGCCGCCGCAGAGGGGTGAGTGAGTGGCGGGCTGGGCGGCCCGTGGCCTGACCTAGCACTGCTGCGGCCGCGGACCGTCTGAGCCGCCTGGGGATGCTGTGCCCACGGCTAGCCACAGGCCTGACTGCTAGAGCTGGGCAGTACTGAACCCTTTGGCGGTAGCTGCCTTGTGCCCACCTCTGGACCAGGCTTCCAGGGGAGCGATGGCTGACTGAGACCATGGCCGGTGCATGGGAAATACAGGCTGGCCTTAGACTTTCTGCAGACTGATGTTTGGTTGGGGGCTATACCAGAGCCAAGAAGCCAGACAGTGGCTTGCAGCTGTTGAGACATTCAGGAAGTTACCATTTGCCCTGAGCAGTCGCTGCACAGACCCATGCAGGTTTAATACATGGAGGCCTTAATACATGCAAGGCCTGACTCAGTTGGCAATGCAGAGCTGTACTGGCTAAGTCCTGGTCAGTTCTGCTGATCATTGTCCTTGTAGCAGAGCCCCCATCGGTGCTGCAAGGCTTTAGAATGGGAGCGTTTCTGTGAATTCGGAAACGTATGGTGTGGAATGAGCATTTAAACAAGTCAATGCACATTCTTTGCCATTACATCATGGGTTATTTGTCTGGTGTCTAAGGTATGCTAAGCACATGACAAAACAAATGGAGGCAAGATATCTGCCCTGAAGAGTGAAACTCTTTCCCATAAAACAGTAGATGGGAGGAGAGCGTAGTGAGATAGGATGTAATATAGAACCGTAGGACTGGAAGGGACCTCAAGAGGTCATCTAGTCCAGTCTCCTGCACTTATCGCAGGACTAAGTATTATCTAGATTATCCCTGAGAGGTGTTTGTCTAACCTGCTCTTAGAAATCTCCAATGATGGAGATTCCACAACCTCCCTAGGCAATTTAGTCCAGTGTTTAACCACCCTGACAGGAAGTTTTTTTTCCTAATGTCCAACCTAAACCCTTGCTGCAATTTAAACCATTGCATATATTTATCTGTGTTGATGTACATGTGTAGATAGTAACTTTTTCCTTATTTGAGGAAGCGTGACATGTAAGAGGCATAGACTTGACTTGGCAGTGGTGAGAGAAGTAGCAGTAGAGTAGTGTTATGGTGGTCATATGTTCCAGAGTGTGAATGCACTGAAAGTTGTGAATATGATCAAGCTTCTCCTGATGGTGGTGCTGCTGAGTGGGGACTCTTACAGTGGAGGAGGGCTACCAGGTGATCACTGATTGCAGATTTTTAGTAGCAGTCTGTCATAGGCATGAATTGCAGCATTTACTTTCACACCAGGATAAGGAACCCAAACAAATATAGCATTTGATTGGTTAATTTCAGTTCTTGACATTTTGAAATTCTTGTGTTTGCCAGTGTTCTAACACATGTCCCTCAAGGAAAGCTGCTTCAGATTGCTTTTCGTCCACTTAGTTGATCTGGCTGCTGTGGAACAGTGTTCTTGGTGGTGGTGCTGGATCTGTGCTGTAAAGTGTTACCTTGTTATCTGACCCTGCACAGAATTGTGCATGTAGGGGAGAATATTTGCCTATTGGTGTTAAGATGTTTAATTGCTAATTGGCTGAACAGTGAGGCCCAACACTCAACTCACTGGCATTTCCTTGCGTGCAAGTCAGGAATGAGGTGCTTTGTCAGAACTGGAGGTCTGGAATAGAGCTTCAAACCACGACTGTACAGCCTGAGCTGCAGTGAGGCTGAAGAGTCTCTCTCTGCCTGCCGCTGGTGAAATCATTATCTTTGCCCAATGAAAAATGTAGTTGTGGTGCTGCAGGCAGAGAGGCCTTCTGTATCAAATGTGCACTGTCAAAGGGAGAGTGACCAAGGCAGGCAGCTGGGTTCGGGTTAGTGGAGGGAATGAATGACAGCTGGCTGAGTTCAGGGCTAAACTGCATTGCTGCCCCTCCCACTGCCTGCCACTTGGCCTGCAAAAGCAATGAAGAGTGACCCTCTGTTACCATCTACCCCCAACATTAGCCAGGTATCTGGCATGCGGAACTGAGGCACTGAGAAATATTATCATAAATGCTTTTCCCTAGTATGACCCTGTAATGTTTTCTGTGTGAATATGATCAACTTTCTATATCCAAGGGCAACAAAAATGATTAGGGGTATAAAACAGCTTCCATATGAGGAGAGATTAATAGGACTAGGATTTTTCAGCTTGGAAAAGAGATGCCTAGGGGGAATATAAAAAGCAACAGAGAGTCCTGTGGCACCTTTAAGACTAACAAATGTATTGGAGCATAAGCTTTCGTGGGTGAGTGCCCACTTCATCGGATGCATGTAATGGAAATAGGGGGAATATGATAGAGGTCTATAAAATCATGATTGGTGTGGAGAAAGTGTTATTCCAAAAAGAACTAGATAAATTCATGGAAGATGGGTCCATCAATGGCTATTAGCCAGGATGGGCAGGGATGGTGTCCCGGGTGACAGGGGATGGATCACTTGATGATTACCTGTTCTGTTCATTCCCTCTGAAGCATCTAGCATTGGCCACTGTCAGAAGACAGGATATTGGGCTAGATGTACCATTGGTCTGACTCAACATGGCCCCTTTTATGTTCTCGTCCTGCCTTGGCAGCCACCTCTGTCCTGCTTTTCTTAGCCGTGGGAAGGGGGCATACACAATTTACACTTAAATCCAGAGTTTGTTAATCTGGGTTAACCTGTGCTTTATTTTTTTTTATTCTTGTCGCACCTACAATGCATGAGGCACTGTCCAGGCAGGAGGACTGCCTAGTTACACAGACCTACAGCACCTTTGCTTACTTGGGGCTGGTCTACACTGGGGGGGGGTCGATGTAAGATATGCAACTTCAGCTATGGGAATAGCGTAGCTGAAGTCGACGTATCTTATTTCGACTTACCTCGGGTCCTCACGGCATGGGATCGACAGCCGCGGCTCCCCTGTCGACTCCGCTACCGCCGCTCGCCCTGGTGGAGTTCTGGAGTCGACGGGAGCACGTTCGGGGATCGATATATCGCGTCTCGCGATAGCGATCCCTGATAGATCGATTACTACCCGCCAATTCAACGGGTAGTCTGGACGTACCCTTACATGGCATTCTTCTCAAACCTTGCGTTTTACACTTAATTTGTTCCTGCATCTGGCTCTGTTCTAGTTTGCCAGATGTATCTGAAATGCCATCTTGTTGCAGTTGTAACAAATGGGAAATGAACAATTTCCCAAGGAGATCCTGTTTTCCTTTAGAACAGGGGTCGGCAACCTTTCAGAAGTGGTGTGCCGAGTCTTCATTTGTTCACTCTAATTTAAGGTTTTGCGTGCCAGTAATACATTTTAACCTTTTTAGGTCTGTTTCTCTAAGTCTGTAATATATAACTACACTATTATTGTACGTAAAGTAAATAAGGTTTTTAAAATGTTCAAGAAGCTTCATTTAAAATTAAATTAAAATACAGAGCCCCCCAGACCGGTGGCCAGGACCCAGGCAGTGTGAGTGCCACTGAAAATCAGCTCGCGTGCTGCAGGTTGCCTACCCCCGCTTTAGAAGCTGGAGTATCCTAGCTTGAATGTGCAGTATCTGTGAAGGGAGGACTAGCCAGGTGGCTCTACATGTGCAGATGACTGAAATTCAAGTGGCAGTTTGTTGGGTTGGTATAGTTCAGGAATTTGCTATGTCAGGCAAGAATGCATAGTGTAGAGCCCAGGGGCTTACAAGTGACATGGAAATTACAGAGTAAAACCTGTGCAGTCTCCTGGGATCTGCCTAGAGCTCCTGGTAAACAGTTAAGTCCTTCTTTCCAAACTGAGTGCAAGTCTTGCTGGGTGTGTGAAGGATGCTTCAGGTGTGTCACTAGTACCAGAATCACTGCAGTTCTGGCTCTTTAACAAATTCCAGTTGCATGCAACATATGGCCCAACCACTAACTTAGCAAGGCTTTAGGCAAATAACATTTTCCCTAGCCTCTTACATGCTGCTCACACTGAACCATTGTTTCTCTGCAGCGCCTGACCAAACACACTAAGTTTGTGCGAGATATGATCAGAGAGGTCTGTGGCTTTGCCCCCTATGAGAAACGTGCTATGGAATTGCTGAAAGTTTCCAAGGACAAACGTGCTCTGAAGTTCATAAAGAAAAGGGTAAGTGAATTTAACATCTTTGGGTATGTCTACACTTAGAATTTTTGTGCTGTAAGTTTCACTGGTGATAGGGAACTGGTGAAAGTAAAGCACTGCTTTGTGTACTCTCTCAATTCCTCAGGTGTCAGTGTGTTTACACTACAAGCACTTCCATCGCCATGAGAACAGCAGTGTAGGGCAGCTATCCCACAGTGCAGCTTCCTTGATAGGTCTTGTGGGAGCGTGGGGTGAGCAAGAAGGCATTCTGGGTCCCTGCTCCATGCCTCGTGCTGCTCTGCTTCATGTCTCAGGAGCCCCATTACTTCCTTGTTTCTTTTGTGGCATTTTTTAAACCCTCCTGCTGTCTGGCTGCTTTCCCTGCCACATCTACAAGCAAAGGGAAAGGGAGCTTCAAACTTCCTGGGGCTTACAGGGGGAGGGGCGGATGTCCATTTACCTGGCGTCAGAGCAGCGGAGATGCTGGCCAGAGTGGTCGCTTTTGGAAATGGGATAGTCTATGGAGGCCAAAAGGTGTTTACGCTGGTAGAATGCGTCTTCACTTTCAAAACAGCGCAAAAAGAACAGTGGTAAGAGCTGTGTACCTCTCGTGAAGGTGGTTTTCTTTTTGCGGTGAGTTTCATTGCAAAGTGTCATTAACAAGTGTAGATGCTCCCATGGTTTTAGTGAAAAAAGAGGACTTTTTGCGCTTTAAATGGTAAGTGTAGACATAGCAAAACTGGACTCCCTCTGAAGTAAGGCTAGCTCCTCTCTTCCCTTCCTGCTCCCCCTCCCCCGGCAGTCAGAGGATCCCACCCTACAGCAGACTTGGCTCTGCCCTTATTCAGTGCTTTGAGCAATCAGGAGCCTGGTGGAGGCATGGTATAGGAGAGCAGTAACTGCCATGCCTGTCCTAAGTTTAGCTCAGTGGTGGAGAGAACTTAGAGGCTCTCCCTTGAAGGGGAGGTCCTGAAGGGTGATCCAGAACTTGCTTTGCAAAGCTGATGGGAGTGAGACTGAGCTGGATTCATCCAGCTAATCCAGTGACTTGGACCAGCAGTTCTTTGCAAAGCTGATGGGAGTGAGACTGAGCTGGATTCATCCAGCTAATCCAGTGACTTGGACCAGCAGTTAGTAAAACTCAAAATTGCTCTGAGCATGCAACAGCTACTGGGATTTGGGTGGGGAGAGGAGCTGGCTGGGGTGGTTCCATCAAACTGAAGGAGCCCCTGTTCTTCAAGCCGTGAACATGCATTTCCTTTGTCTCCCAAAACAGCCTGGCCCATGTTAGGCAGAATAAGAAAGACCCAGCATTTCATGCTGGTGCTGTAGTGCTGCTCACTGTGCTGCTTTCTTTCATACACAGGTTGGTACTCACATTCGGGCCAAGCGAAAACGTGAAGAGCTCAGCAATGTTCTGGCAGCCATGAGGAAGGCTGCTGCCAAGAAGGATTAAGCTGCAAAAACTCCTGTAACTCATTAAAGTGTGTTCAGAGAATTGAGCAGTGTGGTGGTGTTACTAGCAACTTGACAACTGGAGACCACTTGCCATGGGGGAATGGACAGTGCTGAAATACCTTCAAGAGTAACAAAGGGTTAAACTTGGCCTGTCTCTCGCTTTGGATAAATGTTAATTTTACATTTGAGACACAAGGTGGGTGAGGTAACATCTTTTATTAGACTAATTTTTTGGATCTAGACCTGAAGAAGAGCTCTGAAAGCTTCTCTAACCAAGAGAAGTTGGTCCAATAAAATATTACCTCACACATCTTGTGTCTCTGCTGGGACCAACATGGCTAGAACAACACTGTAAAATGTTACATTTGTCTGGTTGAAGAACCAGTATTCATTATCCTAGACAGGTGAGTGGCATACCAGGGTGAGGAAGAAGTAGTGAGGCTGTATGTTCAATGCTTCTCAACTGTGTTGCTTAAGGCATACCTGTGCAAGTGTCTGTAGGATTTAATGCTCCTTAACTAAAGGGGCAGGCTTGTCAAACTGACCTTAGGGGGAGGGCTGAATTACTCCCAACCCCCATGTTCCCTTGAAATAGTAAGAGTTGCACTAGCAAGAGTCAACTGAGTCTTATCCATCTGCTGTGGAACTCTCTTGAAGTAGTAGATGCATGTGAGCCACTTAACCAACTCCAGGCTTGGAAAACAGCACCAGAGATAGGAGCGCAGTGGCCTGTCCTCCTCCAAGACAAGGAGCTCCTGCTGAGTCCCAGCTGCCTTTGATGAGGGCAAGCTGGGACCTATATTCACCAGCCCTTTAATTAAAGAATGACAGCTGGAATTCTCAGTAGGTTTTGGGGAGGGCACCTCCTGTAGAAAGAATCACTTCAGCTCTAGGGCACAGGTGCTTAGAGTAAAGGACTCACCTGCACCAAGCTTAAAAAAAAAAAGTCTGCAGCTACCATTTAAGATTAAGTGAAAAGCCAGGATCTAGCCCTGTTCCTTTTTACAGAGCTTTCTCGAAGCTGCCATAACCCCTTGACTATGTACATGCCTATTTCAGTGGGGAATAAACTGCTACCACTATTCCTAGCTTCATAGGGAAGCTTGGGATTCAGACTGATGTAGAAGTGATTAAAAACCATCTTCAGTAGATGAGGCAGGACAGGCTAGCTCTATGGCTAGTGCAATGAAAGTCCCAGACCCACATCTTATTAGAAATATTTTAATCAGGTCATAATTCAAATCACTTTGTAAACATAAGTGGGAAATGCCTCACACTAACCAAGGCAGTAGTAAATTAAGCCATAATCAATTTCAGTGGCTGCGCAGCAGCAATATTTATGCTCCAGGTGTTAACTGCCCCAGGCCATCTTGCTTTTGGGGTAGTGTAGAGCAGACAGGGAGAGACCCCTTCTCAGTACAAATGGTTCATGTCAGTCATCCTCCAGAGGTATCAAGTTCTGGAAACACTATGTCAAATATTTTGTTGTAGTGCTCAACAAAATGCACTTCTAGTCCCTCTGTAATGAAGTCAGCAAGGTCATAGTAATCCTTCTTGTTCTCTGATGGGAGAATGATACAGGTAACACCAGCTCGCTTGGCCTAGGAAGGAAAGAACACAGTTGTAGGAAGTGTATCTAGCAAAGGAAAATCTGTGTAACATGTCTCTGCTAGAAGAAGTAGGTCCCCTTCATTTTGCATAGTCCTGGATTTTACAGATTAAGGCCTCTATCTTAATCTTTGTCACTATCCAAAAATTTTCCTCCACATTAAGAGATGCCAGGGACAATTGAAATGGAAAGTATCTAAGGCTGCTATGTTTGGTCTAAGTCAGGAAACTCGTTAGTGGACCTGAATTTAAAAAAAAATTTTTTTTTTTGCTTTGGTAGTTTAGACAAGGTCTACCTAGTCTGTAGGATTTTAAAACCTTGCTCTAAACAAGGTCAGGCTGTGCAATTTAGAGACAATGCACTGGTTGGCAAGGGCTAAGCAGGCTACACTTTGCCTGCTATCAGTAGAAGTTACCAATGCCTCCTTCAGAGATGCAAACCTACCCCTATCCTTAAAAACCCACAATAGGCCCCTCAGTCTTCCAGAAGCCATTAAAGCTAGATAATCTTCCATTACCAGCCTCCCTCTACCCTCCTATTCCTGGGCAAAAGAGTTACCAAATACTGCCACCATGCAAGGTTTTCCAACATGCTAGATTAAGGGCAAACTATAGCCCATCGGATTGCCATCCCCATGGCACCACAGGCCCATGTCCCTTGGGGGTGGAGGCAGAGGGCTCTGTGCACTGCCCTTGCCTGCAGGCACCGCCCCCTGCAGCTCCCATTGGCTGGGAACGGAACTGCAGCCAATGTGAGCTTTGGGGGAGGTACCCGCAGGCAAGGGAAGCATGCAGAGCCCTCTGCCCCCCTCCCCTGGGCCAGGGTAGGCAGGGAGCTTGTCTTAGCCCTGCTGCATGCCACTCCAGGTAAGCAGTGCTGGGCCAGAGCCTGAACCCCTGCCACACCCCTCCTGCACCTCAACCCCCTGGCCATAGCCCCGTCACACCCCACATCTCCTTGCCCTGAGTCCCTTCCTGCACACTGCACCCCCTCCCACACCATGCATTCCCTCCTGCACCCCAGCCCTACATTCATGGCCCTGCATGCAATTTCCCCACCCACATGTGGCCCTTGGGCCAAAAAGTTTGCCCACCCTTGTGCTAGATACAGCACAGGAACAGCATTGGTGCCAATAAAAGCTGACCTTGTGGCTACAGGCAAGATCTCCATGCTCACACTGCTGGGCATGTTTGCAGTGTTGTTGGAGCCATGGTGGTCCCAGCCTATTAGAGAGACAAGGTGGGTGAAGGAATATAGTTTACTGGACCAACTTCTTTTGGGGAAAGAGACAGCCCTGAAGAAGAGCTCAGTGTAGCTCGAAAGCTTGTCTCTTTCCCCAACAGAAGTTGGTCCTATAAAAGGTTTTCCCTCCCCCACCTTGTCTCCACTGTTAACACCCAGGAGTAAGTGGTCCAGCACTACAGTGCCGCCAATCATAGCAAGCACTCTAGGGCCATCCCCATTGTTACGCACCAGCAGATGATCATACACAAAGGGAAAGTGCTTACTGCAATAGTCTTCTCCTTGATTCCACCAACAGGAAGAATCTTTCCAGTTAACGACACCTCTCCAGTCATGGCCATGTTTTGCCTCACTGGACGATTCATGGCCAATGACAGTAAGGCCGTTACTATGGTACATCCTGCGCTTGGTCCGTCCTTTGGAGTTGCTCCCTGGAGAGAAAAAAAAGCCACATCGTGACAATCATTCAAACCAAATCAGAGCTTGTGTGAAATACAATCATCATGATGCTACACAGACCAGCAGCAGAGCCCACTCCCACACCTTTGTTGTCACCAGCTTAGTATGGTCAGGGGAACAGAAGCCCAGTTCCAGACTTCAGCAGGTCTCCAGCTTTACTGGCTGATGTTGCAACATTTGATTTACTGCAAGGATGTTTGGCTGAAATGTCACTGGTGGAATCTTGGATGTAGCCCTGCTCAAACATCACGATTGTCGATACAGCGCTAACATTAGCTTCAGTTCTCTCAGCCTGTGGTTTTCTACCTGTGGTCAATGGACCCCGGGGGGAAGGGGGGCGGCTGCAGACTACATCTAAGATTTCCAAAGGGATCCTCCACCTCCATTTGAAATTTAGAGGTCTGCAAATGAAAAAAGGTTGAAAAGCTCTGTGCTAAGCCATAGGACACTAGGATTAAAGATACCACAGATTCTGGATGCGCTTACAGGTGAAGAGTAATCTAGAAACTCAAAGAGATGTAAGCACCTCCTGAAGCACTTCCTTGTATCCTGCATGACACCCGTTTTCCACTCACCCCACTCAGGAGGTGGGGAGAGGCCAGGCCAGGGGCTTTACAGCCTGTGTGACTACTTACCAGAGAGGGAATGACCATGTGGCCGCCCTGCAAATGTATAATATGGAAATATCATTAAGGAAGGCTATTGACGTTGCTTGTGCTCTTGTCGAATGGGCCCATATCTGCTGAGGAGACGTTGCCGATGCTATCTCATACACAGTCCTGATACAAGATATTATCCCTCTAGAGAGATGGTTTGTGCAGAGAACACGTGTCCCTTCATGTGGTCTGCATAGGATATGCACAGGCGAGGTGAAGCACGAAACAGTTCAGTCCTGTTCAGATAAAAGGCTAGACACCATCTAACATATGGAGGCACTGCTCCGCTGTGGAGGAATGTGGCTTAGGGAAGAACACAGGCAAATATACAGCCTCATTCAGATGAAACTGGGAGACCACTTTGGGTGTGGCCAAAGCATTACCTTACCCCTGGAGAACTGCGTGTAAGGAGGCCACACCATCAGGGCCTGGCAGAGATGGGCTATAAAGAATGCAGTTTTTTGAGACGAGGGGCAGTGGACAGGAAGCAGGAGGCTCAAATGGAGGCCCCATCAGAGCTGTTAAAACCGTGTCCAGGCCCCACAAGGGGACAGGCTCTCGGACCAGAGGATGCAGGTGGAGAAATCCTTTCAGAAATTTCATCACCATAGTGTTGGAGAACACTGATTTCCCTTGGATAGGGGGATGAAACGCTGATATTGCTGCCAAGTTTCAAGCCTGATTTCTGAAGGTGCAGCAGATACTCAGATGTCCTGGATGGAAGTCCTTGTCGGACAGATTCCGCATCACACAAAAAACCTCTTCCACTTCACTAAATAGGCCGTCCTAGTGAAAGACTTCCTGTTGTTAAGTAGGACCTGTTGGATAGCCTCTGAACAATGCTCTTCCTCCTCGTTCAGCCATGCCAGGTGGTGAATGGAGCTGATCACCAGATGTAGCTGTGGTCCGTGTGAGGTCATCGGGATGGAGAGGAAACGGCATGGGAGGCTGGACTGACAGAACAAGGAGATCTGAGAACCAGCACTGTCTCAGTCACGCCGGGGCAACTGGGATGAGTCTGGCTTGATCCGCCTTGCGCTTGGCGATGATCTGGGGGAATGACTGGAATAGGAATATA